CTAAGAATTATACGGGATGACATGAAAAGAAACCACATAAGACTCATTGGAATTTCAGAACAAGAGGTGGAAAAAATCACCAAGAAAATTGTGGAAGACCTGCTAACAGAAAACTTCCCCCATATCATGAAAGAAAAAAAGATATTTGCCCAAGAAGTTCATAGAATCCCACACAAGATAGACCCCAAGAGAAAAACACCAAGGCGTATTAAAATCAAACTCTCCTAAACCAAATATTTTGGTTTAATTCCCAGAAACAAATGAGAATGAAGATAGATCACACCAAAACCAATGGGACACAGCAGTATTCAGAGGACAGTTTATAGCAATAAATGCATACATCAAAAAAGGGGAAAGAAACAAAATCAACAAAGAAAATACTTTGAGAGCTGCCCAGGACAAAAGAAATATTACTTATAATAATCAAACAGCTAGGCTGAGCTCCAACTGCTCAGCAGAAACCATGTAGGCAAGAAGACAATGGAATGGCATATATAAAATACTGAAGGAAACAAACCTCCAACCAAGAATCCTATATCCAGAAAAATTATCCATCAAATATGAGGCCAAAATCAAGGCATTCTCAGACAAACAGAAATGAAGGGATTTTGTGAAAACCAGAAAAACCCTCTAACAAATGCTTAAGGAAGTTTTTCCAATGGAGAACCCACAACAGAGATCAACAAAATCAGGATACATGGCATCAACACTAAAACCAAATCAGAAAGAGAAACTCAAAATAAGACTATAAAACATTGTACACTAAAAACCAAGGAAGTCAATCAGCACACAACAACAGCAACTAACCTATCAGAAGGAATAAAACTTCAAGGTACAAATTTCCAAATGGAGAGGAAAACAGGACAATGTCTTCACAGTATGCACAGTTCTAAAAATGTAGAGACAAGAATATAGTCCTGGGTAACCACAGAGAAAAATAAAAATCCCCGTAAGCAAATCCTGAAGGAAGGAAAACATACGGGTTTAATAAGCACAAAACCAACAATAAAGAAGAAAAAGAAGAAAGCATTAGCCAACAAACTGAACTCAGCACAGGAAAGTATATGGACCAAGGAAACACCAACAACATGACAAAAAAACACAACAGAATGACAGCAATCAATCCAGATCACTAATCATACTCAATGTGAATGGACTAAATGCACCTATCAAGAGAAAGAAAGTGGCAGACTGGATAAGAAAAGAAGAGACTCATCGATACACTGCCTACAAGAGACCCACCATATATACAAAGATAAAAACAAATTAAGAGTTAAGGGATGGAAAAATAAATACCAAGCCAAAGGAAACCAGAAAAGAGCAGGAGTAGCAATATTAATTTCTGACAAAATAGACATTAAGGTATAAAACATCATAGAGACTAAGAAGGATATTATATGATGCTAAAAGGATCAATTGACAAAGAAGACATTACAATAATAAATATTTATGCATCTAATGAAAGTGCTCCAAAATATGTGAAGCAAATATTAACTGAATTAAAAGGGATAATAGACAAATCTACAATAGTATAGGAGACTTTAACACACCACTTTCAAAGACGGACAGGTCAACTAGAAAAAAACTCAACAAAGATACAGAAGAACTCAACAATACAATCAACCAACTAGACCTCATAGACATAAACAGAGCATTTCACCCAACAAAAGCACAATTCACATTCTTCTCCAGGGCACATGGATACTTCTCCAGAATAGACCATATGTTAGAACATAAAACAAGCCTCAATAAATTCAAAAGTATTGAAATACGACAAAGCATCTTCTCGGACCACAATGTTATAAAATTACAAATTAATAATAGGAAAAGCAAGGAAAAAGCATCAAGCATATGGAAGCTGAACAACTCACTGCTCAAAAACTACTGGGTAATAGAACAGACAAAAACTCAAATAAAAAAATTCCCAGAAACAAATGAGAATGAAGATAGATCACACCAAAACCAATGGGACACAGCAAAAGCAGTACTCAGAGGACAGTTTATAGTAATAAATGCATACATCAAAAAAGAGGAAAGAAACAAAATCCACACTCTAATTCACTAACTCCAACAACTAGAAATAGAACAACAAAAGAATCCTACAGTACCTAGAAGCAAGGAAATAATAAAGATCAGAGCAGAAATAAATGAAACAGAAAACAAAAAAACATAGAGAAAATCAACAAAAAAAAAGGTGGTTTTTTGAAAAGATTAATAAAATCGATAGAACATTAGCAGACCTAACAAAAGAAAGAGAAGATTCAAATCACCAGAATTGTAAACAAAAATGCTGTCATCACAACAGAACCAACTGAAATAAAAAAGATACTGATAGAATATTATGAAAAACTGTACTCCAACAGAATTGAGAACCTAGAAGAGATGGACAAGTTTCTAGAATCACAAGACCTACTTAAACTATCCTACTCAGAGACAGAATTCTTGAACAGACCTATAAAAAATGAACAAATTGAACAGGTCATAAAAAAACTTCCCACAAATAAAAGCTCTTGCCCTGATGGCTTCACTGGAGAATTCTATCCACTATTCAGAAAAGAGTTGACACCTATGCTACTCAAGCTATTCTAGAATATAGCAAAAGATGGAATATTCCCAAACTCATTATATGAAGCGAGCATAACACTAATACCAAAACCAGGGAAAGACACCACTAGAAAGGAAAACTACAGACCAATATCCCTAATGAACATAGATGCAAAAATCTTTAACAAGATCCTAGCCAACAGAATCCAACAACATATCAAAAAATTAATACACCTGGACCAAGTGGGATTCATACCAGGCTTGCAAAGGTGGTTCAACATCAGAAAATCAATCAATATAATCCACCACATAAACAAAACAAAAGGAAAGAACCATATGATTATATTAATCAATGCAGAAAAGGCACTTGATAAAATCCAACATTCATTCTTGTTCGGAATTCTCAGCAAAACAGGGATAGAAGGGAAATTCCTCAACATAATAAAGTGTATACATGCAAAGGCAACGGCCAACATCATTGTTAATGGAGAAAGAATCAAGACATTCACCTTACCAATGGGAACCAGACAGGGATGCCCTCTATCATCACTTCTATTTAACATTGTATTGGAAGTCCTGGCCAGGGCAATAAGGCAAGAAAGAGAAATAAAAGGCATACAATTTGGCAAAAAGGAACTAAAACTATCTCTATTTGTGGATGATATGATCCTGTACATAGAAAACCCAAGGGACTCAATAAAAAAACTACTGGAACTAATAGAGAGGTTCAGTAAAGTGGCAGGATACAAGGTCAACATACAAAAATCAGTCAGATTCCTCTACACCAACAAAGAATCCTCTGATAAAGAAATAAGGGAAACAATACCATTTACTATAGCTACTAAAAAGATAAAATATCTAGGAATATTCCATTACTAGGAATATATCCTAAAGAGGTGAGAGATAGCACACAAACAGACATATGTACACCTATGTTCATCGCAGCACAATTCACTATAGCAAAGAGATGGAAACAACCTAAATGCCCATCAGTGGATGAGTGGATAACCAAATTATAGTATATGCACACAATGGAATACAATGCTACATTAAAGAACAATGAGGGATACACGAATCATTTTACAACATGGATGAACCTGGACAACATTATGCTGAGTGAAATAAATCAATCACAGAAAGATGAGTACTGTTTGAGCCCATTACTGTAAAAAGACAAAGAAGGGTTTACTTGGGAAAGGGAACTCACTTAGTAGGTTACCAGGATGGGGAGGGAAGGGGAGGGATTAATTTCAGGCTAGTTGGGGCCTACTCGCTGAAATGGGTGGGGGAGGGATATATGGAAAGGATTTGTGACACCGAATTGTGCACATAAGATGTAGATGACAGATGCTAATACCAACCAATGTGTCTATAATACTGCATTGCTGTTAACACCAAACACCAGGCTACAGATAAACACATAAACACCTGAGATGATAAGACGGGGGTCAGTGAACGGAAGTATGTATACTCTAGACCAAGGATAGATTCAGCTGAGGCTAATCTTGCACAGACACCAGTGATACAAAATACCTGCAGTCCTTTTAGAAAAAACAGAAGACAGACACAGAATAATCCCTCACAGACAACCAGACAGTATGGGAGAGAGATCCTAGATCTACCATCTTAGGACCATAGTACTGGGGGACACCAGACTTAGTTAGCACAACAAAATACATAAAAGCCTTGCTCCACATCCTACGTTGGTGAGTAGTGACTGGGGTCTTAAAAGCAAACACTTGGAAGCAATCAGCTATAGGACACGAAGGCCCTTGAGACCAGAAGAAGTAGATGGTGCCCAGCTACCAATGCCAACCACTCAGGAAAGGATCAAATCTGGAGATCCTGTATAAAGTGGGAGGGAAAATGTGGAACAAAATCCAAAAACTCAATAATGACCAGAATTACTGGTCCGATGAAATCTGGTGAGATTCCCGATACTATGGCCCTGGAATACATTCTGTGCCTGGAATAAAATGCACCACCAGGGGCTGGATCTCAGCCCAATAGTTAACAAGATGTACATGCAGACCACTCAAACTAGGGTGATGCACCCACATACTCTAGGGTAATACATCCCTTAGAGCAATAGACCATGGGACACCAGAGGACCAACATTCAAATTGAGTAAATGCAGGATAAACAGGAATGCATAAATATGAGGCACACAGGGGGAAGGTTACAGGGTAGGAAGGGGAGGAGACTGGGTTAGGGTTAGACATGGTAAATGGGGAATGAAACTAAATGTACACGTAACGTTGAATGTAAAACAAGCTCTTAAAATAAAAACAAATATGGCATATGCATATAACGTGAAAAAAAATTAAATATTAGAGAACATACAGAACCCTACAATATAATCATTTAAAACTTTATTATAATAATTTTATTTTCTTGCCTAAAAATATCATTAAATATATTTTTAAAATTAAAAAAATTAGTCTAGGATACTATACCTGAATAATTGATGCTGATCTATTTTCAATTTTTTCCAATTTTTCCTTTTTTAACATTAGTAATTTTCTCTGGGCTAAAAATCGTCGCCAGTATTTCTGAATGATCAGTGCTGCATTAACTTCTTTCTTCAGTCGTTGTTTAGTTAGAAAATTGATTATAGCTAACTGAATAATTCTTGCAGCTTTGTCTCTCTCCTTAAAAAAAAACAAAAGATGAAACATAGCAAATATGAGTTAAGCACTTATTCACTTAAACTCCTAAATTATTCTTTGTAAGAATATAATCTGTTAAACATAAATCAAATTGATCCCAGAAATGAAATGCCCCCAGACTTACTGTAAGATATGTTCATCTTTGAAATACAGATATCTGTGGGCATGTTCAAAGGACTGATAAGTAGGGTTGCAGATATATTTGCACAATGAAACAAAGATTCCTAGGAAACTTCATCCTAAAATAAGCATCTTAGACATGTTTGATCTATCACAGCTCCTCTGTAATCAGGATAAAGACAATTTGAAGTGTAATCAGGTATGTTTCTCAGATTGGCTCCAGTGAATTCATGTTTGACTTTCAGGAGAGAAAGTATTAAAAAATAGAGAAAGAAACTACAAAAATAAACAAAATGCCTTAGTGTGAGGTGGTATTGCTTTGTTATAATCTGAACAAAGGAACTCACAAAAGAAAAGCAAAACACCCTTTTTGGCATAGAACTCACTGTGGATAAGCCATAGTGACTCAAGAGAACAGGATAGAGTTTGGGTCTGATTAGCAATGTACAAGCTGGTCAAAAGGATCAGCAGCCAAAGAAGAGTGAGCTGCACTGGGAGCTCCTGAAGCCCAAGCCAAACCCACTGACAACTGAGTCAATTCTGGCTCATAGTGACTCTATAGGATTGAGTAGAACTGTCCCATCAGGTTTCCAAGGCTGCCAATCTTTATGGAAGCAGACTCCCTCATCTTTCTCATGTGGAGGGGCTGGTGGGTTCGAACTGCCAACCTATTGGTTAGCAGCTGAATGCCTTAACCACTGTGCCACCAGAGCTCCTATTTCAGACTTGTTGTTGTTGTTGTTATTTGCCGAGGAATCGGCCCCGACTCATAGCGACCCCTCCTTCGGTTTCCAAGGCAGTATCACTACGGAAGTAGGATTGCCCAACCTTCCTTCCGAGGAGTGGCTGGTGGGTTTGAACCGCCGGGTTTGAACCGCCAGCCTTCTGGTTAGCAGTCAAGTGCCTTAGGCACTATGCTACCAGAGCTCCCTATTTCAGACTAGTACCCTGCATATCTCTATTATTGTTACTTCTGGTAATGAACAATTATGAATAATAACAGATATTGAATACTTACGGGGTGCCAGGTACTATTCTCAAAACTTCATGTTGTTGTTAGGTGCTTTTGAATCATGTCTGACTCATAGCAACCTTATGCACAGCACAACGAAACACTGCCTGGTCCCACACCAGCTCCATGATCCTTATTATACCTGAGCCCATCGTCACAGCCACTGTGTCAATCCATCTTGTTGAGGGCTTTCCCCTCTTTTGTCTTCTCCAGGGAATGGTCCCTTTTAACAACATGACCAAAGTAGGTAAGACGAAGTCTGGCCATTCTCACTTCCAGGGAGCATTTCAGCTGCACTTCCTCCAGGATGGATCTGTTAGTTCTTTTAGCAGTCCATGGTATTTTCAGCATTCTTCACCAGCACTACAAATCAAAAGCATCAATTCTTCAGTCTTCTTTACTCATTGACCAGCTCCTACATGCATACGACGCGATTGAAAATACGATGGCTTGTGTCAGGCATACCTTAGTCCTTAAGGAGACATCCTTGCTCCTCAGCACTTGTAAAAGGTCCCTTGCAGCCAACTTGCCCAGTGCTATATGTTGTCTAATGTCCTGGCTGCTGCTTCCATTGGCATCAATTGTAGAACTAAGAAATGTGAAGTCTTTGACAACTTCAATCTTTTCTCCATTTACTGTGATGCTGCTAATAAGTCCAGTTGTGAGGATTTTTGTTTTCTTTATATTGAGATGTAATCCATACTGCAGACTGTATTCTTCTATCTTCATCAGTAAGTGCTCAAGTCATCCTCACTTTCAGCAAGCAAAGTTGTGTCGTCAGTGTATCGCAAGTTGTCAATGATTGTTCCTCCAATCTTGATGCCATGTTCTTCTTCATAAAGTCCAGCTTCTCATATTATTTGCTCTGGATACAGATTGAATAATTATGGGGAAAGGATACAGCCCTGACACACTCCCTTCTTGATTTTAAATCACATGGTGTCCCCATGTTCGGTTCAAATAACAGCCTCCTAGTCAATGTACAGGTTCCTCTAGAGCACAATGAAGTGTTCTGGAATTCCCATTTTTCTCAATATCATCCACAATTTGTTATGATCCACACAATCAAATGCCTTTGCACAGTCAATAAAACACAAGTAAACATCTTTCTGAAATTCTTTGCTTTGAGCCAAGATCCATCAGTCATCAGCAATGATATCCCTCATTCTATGTCCTCTTCTGAATCCAGCTTGCATTTCTGGAAGTTCTCTGTCAATATACTGCTGCAACTGTTTTTGAATTATCTTCAGTAAGATTTTACTTGTATGTGATATTAATGATATTGTTCAATAATTTCCACATTCTGTGGGCTCGTTTCTTTCAAATGGGTCCAAATATGGATCTCTTCCAGTCAGTTGGCAGGTAATTGTCTTCCAAATCTCTTGGCATAACCAAGTGAGTGCCTCCAACGGGGCATCCATTTGTTGAAACATCTCAGTGGGCATTCCATCAATTCCTGGAGCCTTGATCTTCGCCAATTCCTTCAATACAGCTTTGACTTCTTCCTTCAGTACCATTGGTTCTTGATCATATGGCACCTCCTGAAATGGATGAAGCTCAACCAGTTCTTTTTGGTACAGTTACTCTGTGTTTTCCTTCCATCTTCTTTTCCTGCATCATTCAATATTTTGCCCTTAGAATCT